ATACGAGCGCGGTAGAGCAGGCAAGGTTTTGTCGTTGTTATTACTTTCGACTTGAACTTTGTTGGCTAAACGCTCAGTACGATAGTAAATGATAGCCATTTATTTCTAACAGTTGCGTTAGAAAAAATATTTCGTTATGGTAAGAATATATTTTAACTATACTCGCCAACGTCTTGCACCGTTTGCGCAATAGCTAAGCGTGGAACTTTACGCTCAATGATCGAATGTCGAAAAAACCACAATTAACACACAGTTAGGTTACATAGCCTACTATGTTTTTGTATTTGTAAGAAAGCAATAAAAAAACTATCCAGCTGTCCCTTCCTGATGTTTGTAGCAATTGGCTTACCTTGTAATGTCTAAAATCGTAATTCCAATAAGTGTTATTACTCATATATATATATATATATATATATATATATATATGTAGACAAATTTCGAAATTATTCGTCTGCGTTGTAGCAGACATCTTTATAGCATCGTATAGCCATCCGTTGTCAACACTCAGGCGAGTAGTTGTCATGTATCACGGATCTGCTGTAATGAATGTTCTAGCATATATATATATATATATATATAAATCCTGAATATCTCTGTTGAGTATTCCAAGACTGCATGTAAACAAAAATAGACATTGTTACGAAATGTATTTGCGCGTATCGTTTCCCATAGTCATGTTTGTTGGTCACAGATCTAATTCGAGACCTAAACCACTCACTAGTAATATTCCTTCCGAGGTTCACAAATGGACTTTTCAATAAAGACCATCGGTACATATACTGGTAGATGTACACTGATTCAGACATCACTCGAATACACTACACATTTGAGCGGAATGAAATTTTAGGCTCGTTTTGAGAAACTTTGCTAGAAGCTAGAGAAATGGTCGGAAAGTGTGGAGCAGACTATCTAAACGGCTCAAGTGGCAATTTATATTGTCCTCTTCGAAACGACCGTTCATTACTGCATGCACAGATCAACTGCATCGATACTATTCGTATAAATCTAAATCCAGAGTTAGGGATCTTTCAATAGAAAAATAATACATTTTTACGGCTATGGTTGTGCTTGTATGCGAGAATGACGTGCCACATTATTGCACAGGGGGCATAAAATGACACACGTTGCCGGTCGATCATTCGATCGAGTGTCACTTTTACTGTGAGTTGGTTAGCGACGGCGTCGCTGACGACGAAACCAATTTAGCCTGGTTCAGCTTTGAGTAAGAGTTACAAGCAACCATCGCCAAACGGTGACTAAAATACAGTTCGATTATGCCGTGTAGTGTTCATTAATGTCCAGTAGACATTCAATGCCAGCCCTTTACAGGTTTCTTCTTTCGTAGGGCAAATCACGTACGTGACGATGTTGCTGATGGTGACCGCGGCAACAGCAGCGGCGTGATGTCGGTCATAGTGTTGTATCGCTATCTGAATCAAACGGCAGGGGCAAACTGGTGCCAAAATTTCTGCGAGTTTTTTTCGCTCCGCGCAAACACAGATTATACAGCCCGACAAAAAAAAAGATTTTGTATAGTGTCAAAATAGTATAAAAATCAAGAGATTTATCGTTTACGCGACGGCTCAAACGTTTGTAAAGGTCGCTGTCTCAAATCACATTGACGATAGATAAAAACTAGAAAATTTGCGCAAATGAGGAAAGTTATGTTCTTTCATTTAGTCGAGTATAAAGTGAGACGCTAAAATATAAATCCCTTGCTACAATAAGTAAATAGAGTTTTTTTGTATTTTCAAAATAAACAAAAACATTTGTAGAGTTTACGCGTTTTACGGGTACTCTCAATAAAAATTACATTCTCCTAGAATTACTTAGTATCCGTAAATGGTTATAAGAAGCCAAACTTTCCCTCATATCTGAATGAGACCTCGATTGGAGACGTATCCTACTACCCAGAAAGCATGTCACGTGTATTCAAAATGCAAAGGCTAATTGTAAGAACTATAAGCATGAAACTATATCATCAGCCGTACTCGTTCGATCAAATCTTACGTCAAACTAGCACTACACGTTCTTCTATTCGTTTAGTTACGACATCATCTTCTTCAATATGCATAAGTGAAACGTGGTTACGAAGGCCCGCCGTAGTCGCATTAGGATGTTATCGCGGCCAACGGGTCTTCTTTTAACTTTGTGCTTAACTTGGACTTAAACAACGTGAAAGATATGCGGCAAGTGATTCAGGCGGGCACGCGTTCTTTCCTTTACTATCCGATTACACGTTCATCATCAATCGATCGATTCGTTGGTTTATCGCTGCCCACCGTGCAGCCAGCGCCCCATCCCTTTTCCTCAACGTTTCCGCTTATCGAAAACCAGCCAGCCAATTTTATTTTATCAGAGTCTCTGGCGCTGTGTTTTAAAACGATGCAGCTATTCTCTTCTTTCTTCCTTTCGATGGTCACCCCCAGTCGAGGCCGCCGCCGCCGCCGCCGTCGTCGTATTCGAGCTGATGTTTGTTTACCACCGTCTCGACTTCACATATCAGCACGGCCCGCATTGGTCGGTGGTGCGTATCCGATTCATTCACCCACTGAAGTACGCTCGTGAATATGGAGCCTATGTTGTCTTCTTTGTAGTCGGCTGTTCTGTTCGTCATTCTATGCCGCATGTGTAGCTTTTCGCTGCTTCGCCACAATTGTGAACATCTGAAGCAATCCCTCGTTTCCTGTTGTCTCAGGGTAAAAGAAAAATGGGTTGGTGTTGTTCCTTTATACAGTCAACGTCTAGTGCACAAGCAGGCATCGAGTGCGCTGTAGTCACTGACGGCAGAACGGCTTGTGCCAAATGCTGGCCGCGGGCGGGCCGACCGGCCGGCTAGCTACAGTAAACACAAGCCGGAAAAGGAACGATGTCGAGTAGTTCCCTCATAGAGTGGACGAAGATGCCACAGCAACAGCTGATGCTGCCGCTGTGTTATTGTTTCTCATACGGTGGAAATGATCCGATACATACGAACGCCTATTTAATCGTCGTCTCCTATGGAACCAGAGAGTAATTGAAGAAGCACGAAGTAGCTAACGCGGAGACCGTAATGATCCAGATAATCGTAAGCGTAATGGTTGCCAACGTTGTCGTACACAGCGACGGGATCATTGTCGGTCAACTTTGTTAATAACTATGGCAGCGCTTGCTTCGCTGGATCTCGAAATGATCGTACATGAATGGGTAGACGTTAAGGAGTAAAAAGGAGGAAGCCCGGGAGAAAGGACAGATAGCCTGGGCGGGCGTGCGTGCGTGCGTGCGTGCGTGCGTGCGTGTGTGTGTGTGTGTGTGTGTGTGTGTGTGTATTGTGTGTGTGTGTGTTGTGTGTGTGTGTGTGTGTGTGTGTGTGCGTGTGTGTGTGTGTGTGTGTGTGTGTGTGTGTGTGTGTGTGTGTGTGTATGCGTGTGTGTGTGTGCGTATCTGATAGACAGATACGTTGATTATTGTCGATGATCGACTCTCGGCATCTAGTAGCAACGTGATCCTATCCGCGATTAGATTGCTACCTAACCCCCCAGTCTCATCCTGGTGATCGTTGCAGGCTCGAATGTTTCGTGACGGAATGTTTGAGTATTACAACTGCTATTACGAGTCGAGAATAGGAACTAACGGACCACAACAACGGCCGCTAAGAGCATGGCCTTCGAATAATGCGCGCAGCCTACTTCCTCGAAGGATGGCGAGAAATAAACAACGGCATAAAGGGGTAATGCAGGAAGCTTATTAATTAAGATAAAACGTCATGTAAGACGATGCAAGAGGATGAACATTTCAGACTCTTCCCGCACCTTCTCGTAACGGCACATGTTACGGTTCAGGTCCGTAAATTGAACTTACGCGCAGATATCGCAGACGTACGCACAGGATCGAAGTATACAGTTTTATCAATATTCGATGACGTTTAAAAAACCATTTTATCATGTTAGAAGGAAGCGCCGATAAAAATATGAGTGATTAAAATTTTCAGCGGTTACACAACGTCACATTATAGTAACGCAAGGTGCATTTCCAATCGGGTTGCTGTAAACGAATTTTTGCAACTTTTCGACCGGCCAATAACATAGAACATCTTTCCTCTTAAACATGGATATGTAAAAATGATGATAAAAAAATTTTTCTACTTATCAAAGCGGACAGATTTACACGAATCAGCTTTAGTCATTCACTATGCATTTTCGCTGCGTCAATAAGTCGGTCTTGAGTCACAACCATCACTTGCTAGGGCCGTTACGAGAAAGAGATATATAGTAGAGAACTGCAAGAACGTATAATTATTTCGACTTCTTAAAATAGTAATAGTTACTATTATTTTTCGTTTTAGTATTATCGATCGAATATTCCCTGTAAGTTGTTCAGCTTTGGGAACAACGATGTCACCAGCTTGATATGTTGCAATGTCCCTGTTGTTATTATGGCGGAAAGCCGAGCTTATTTTGGTAGGATGTACCACATATATGCACATATCTATGCCCACATATTACCAGGTAAGGCACACACACACGTATCTAATCGTGCTCATCAATCAAGATTGATAGCCGAATGTAAAACGATCTTCGGGATATATAAGAGCTTCCTGCATTGATCTTCGTGGAAATCCTGGAGAGCACTTTAGTTAAGAATAGGGAAAAGGCCACTTAGGGGTTGACCATGTTTGACCCGGCAACGCTACCCTCTCTATATTACCAGCCTCCTACTGATGGAGGCGCCAGTGCTTCCCAGTCTGAATGTATAACTGAAGATGCTATCCGCTCGACCGCTAATAGTGCTTATTGACAGTTCTAGCAGAAAGGTCGATACTGGAAAGCTTTGCGCATCCCAGCGTTGCTGTGTATCATTATCCTCAAAAACAACAGCAGAACAGCCACTAAACGTCATCCAGTGTTTCAAAATAATCTCTAAAATCTACACGAGACCGTCGTTCGTTGTCATCTTTGCTTACGTAGGTTCGTTTGACTAAATCACTTCAATGCAATCTTTTTTGACACTGGCCAACTGTGGAAAGCTACAATGAATTCTCTTTATTTCCTCGCCCGCACACATCCTTTGCCCCCAATGTGGTACGTGAACTAGAATTTTCGGAACGCAATGAAGACCTGTCGAAACAGAAAACGAGCACAAAATACAACTGATTTGACTTTGACAGAAAATTGATTTAACTTGATATATTTAGAATCAAATTGGTTACATATGAAATCCACTATCGACAAACTTCAACTCCGATTGCTGGGTCGGCACTTGTCGATAGTAAGAATGACGTTATTACAAAAGTACGTGTATTCGTTCTAATCCGCTATTAGCTAAGCAAGTATCATTATATGGAAAAACTGGGACAGGTAATGACCCATCTACAATGCTCTCAATGTTGCTGGCCATTTGATATTTCATGCCCTGTTTGTTGTTGTGGTATGAATAGACCTCGCTCGATGACTTACTGCGGCTGAAACTGGGTCTTCATTGGCAAGGCAAGTCGGCGTCGTTAGCACTAGCATCGTCGCATTTGTCAGTCGTTGTAGTAACAGTTGCCACCGTCGAGTACGTGAGAACTGGCTTACCAACACTCGCTGTCTCAATATTTCTTCAAGCGGAAAGCGGGCAATAAAAAAAAAAAGAAAAAAGAAACGATTTCTTGCCACTCCAATTTCTTTTAGATAACTAATCTGCGTTTTCCCGTTGTGTGTGCTTGCTCGAGTGTCATCTTAATAATTCCCGGCTATTAAAAGGTGAAAATGACACACGTTAGTTGCTCGTACGTGAGCCAAAAACGGATTGCTAACTCATTGTTTCGCTCCACGAAATTCCGGTAGGAAGAAATCATCATGAAAAACTTCAACAACGATAACAACAGCAGCAACAACAACAGCAACAATAGCAACAATGAATACTACTGGATGTTCTACTATGATGATGATTCGTCTATATTGTGTTGCCTACCTAGTGCCGATCATGGCCATCCGACTATTACGTTACGCGCACGTCACGTCAAAAGTGCTATTCGTGGTTTTAGTAAAAGTGAACCAAATACACGATGACGACCTTAACCACCTGCTACAATTATTGAAACCGCCGTACAGTTCCGAGTATGAGCTTTGTCTTATATATATATTCACCATTCTATATTGTTAAAGTTAAGTCTACCCTATTTTACTCATTTCTTCCGTGTGGAACCCATCGTTGCTGTTTAAACCGATAATTTCTACAATGTGGCAAGATAAAATTGGCAACTTTTCATGTTGTTGTGCTCTAAATACATTTTTTCTAGTCTCAAGGAAATTTTATTACACTGTAAAAAATACAAAAAATGAAGTCGATGGTCCCAAGCGGGCTATAACGAAAGATTAGCGTATCCTAGGGGTCTTTCCGTAGACACCTAATTTTAGGCGTACATTTTTCGGTATTAAAAACGCGAAATGAACTCTCCATGCCGCACGTCATCTAGAATAGACGATACAGGCGCAAGATAATCTGCTCTTACCAAAGTTTACTACGTTCCTCGTCGCAGTGGGGGAAGGAGTCTGCGGCGTCTCTCGAAACGAGACCGCCTCACTTAAGCGTTACCAACAGCAAGACATGACGATGTGCGCCACAGGGGATCAGATAGCCGACGTACGCGTAAAAACTCCACTTTTCGTACTCCATCTCCTCCACTCCCCACGGACGGGGTGCTATTAGCTTCTCATCGATGCACTACGCCACCAAGAGCAGCAACGTTGTTGCTGATGGGAGACCGTTAAATGAGCTCAAGACATTTTATCTGCTGCGTTTGCCCCCAGCTCAGTATAAATAACACTACCTACAAACCTTGCTAAGTAGATCGTTTTATTTATTTATTCGCATGACGACATAAGCATACAGATTTCATGTAAAATTTAGACTGTTTAGAGATATCTTCACGAGTGAAGGTCTATCCCACGTGCGAAATGATTTCTATTTGTGCAGTAAAAAAAACACGCTAATTAACACTGTAACTCAGTGTTGTAAGTGCACACTCTTAATTTGAATTTATTCACCGCAAGCTTTCAGACTTGTTCTTGTTCGATCTTGTGTGCCTAGTTACTATGTAAAATAAAGCAGATATTATATATATATATATATATATATATATATATTTTCAATAAAAAATCAGCTAGTTTAGAAAAAGTTGAACACCAGATACAATGGCTGTATGATGCGCCCACCGTAAAGAATAATGCGTTTCATTCGGACGACCTTGCTCGAATGAAGAGGCCCCACAGGCATCGTATGGTTCTTCTACGCAGAACTTAGGTTAGACTTCTCCGGCTGTTTGACAGAGACAGAACGCCGCCGCTGCTGCTACAACTCAGAGGTGATTCTGCTTACTCCTGCCCGTCTCTTTTTACTTTCCGTCAATGCCTCGCATCGTCGCGAACACCACACGACAGCCAGGTCAGCATGCGTTCGTACTCTATGCTTTTATCGACAATCTGTGCAAGCGCCCGTCACCTAGTCTTCATCGATTAGCGTGCTAGTGACCAGCCTCTCAAATGATATGAAATCAAAATTACCTTTTTTACAGAACCGTTATAGATTATTGGTATTAATAATAGTGGCCGGTAAAGTGTTAGTTCATTGGCTAAGTCGGTTAGAAGAGGAGATTCGGAGAATCACAGCCGGTCGCTTGTGACTTGCGTCGAAGAACCCTCGATGAAGGCAAATTTCGGTGCTCTGCCGAAAAAAAGATGCTCACGACATGGGAGGCGCCTTGACGGATACGCATAGATATATATATATATACGTACGTACGTACGTACGTACGGAGGCAAACAAAAACCCACACACACACAGACTCACACTTCTGCACATCGCGTTTCGATAAAGAAACACGTAAAAACGGACCGCAGCGTCAACCATAGCACAAAGCAAAACAAGTGCCCGGTGCCATCCGTGTATCAGTCAGTATATCCGCAACGTGCTATGCTGTGACGCCATGACGTAACATTGTGGTATAGTGGTGTCGTACGACGGGGCGCGTTTTGGTACATCAAGGTCCGAAACCTCCTTCTGTATGGACCGTCTCGTTGGGTTCACCTTTATGCGATGCCAATGAGATGCCCTACGAAAGCTAACGAGGAAGCCCAGAAGGGAGCCAAAACGGGAACTATGAAGGATCATACCGGCGATACACGAGGCACTATATAGGCTCGTGGTAGTGTCGCGATGCTTGGCTTGTGCTACTTGCTGTACTCTGTTAGCGTGCGCAGTAGAAGCTTGAAGAGGGGCACCGCGCCTTCGAAGTGGGAGGAGAGGGTGGGGCCGGGGAGGAGGAAGAGAGGACGAGGAGGAGAAAGAAAAAGTAGGTCTGATCGGATCGACTGCGAACGATCGAGGCCAAATGCGCGCGTGTGCCAACGAACGTTTTAGGGCTTTATTTCAGGCCCCTGTGCAGTCTCCGGCTCGCTGTAAATATCCTATCTAGAATAACACTGAAGTATCAAGACACGAGTAGCACTGAAAGCACTTAAAATTAGTATGGCCGACATAACAAAACGGACAGATACGAAAAGATCAGGTGAGCCACAGGCCTTGCCTTTGTGTTTAACGCAGCGCAGGGCATAAACATAAACCGTTACCATCGAGAGCAGCCTAGTACCTTATACTATGATCAGTCTCACCTCTGAACTACAATTCAGCGTAATTATAAACCAAAAAATCAGTCCTGTTGCTTTGTCGGGTCAGTGAAGTGAGTTCTGCACTAGATTGAGCATTGTTTAAAGTCCAGCTTCAGGATTAATCTAAAGCGATGTGTCATAATTACTATTATTCGGCAAAATTGTAAATGCGAGAAATGACTATTTAAACGTTTAGGTTGGCGACAATTTTCAAGCACTAAATATCCCATAAATTTGTTTCCAACAATCTAATGAAAGATGAGCCAAAACAGTTTGTTTATCATAAAGCTGCGATCCAAATGAGCACGTCACGAAAACGGGAAATATTTGAAGTGTGATGTTCTACCGAAGTTGTAGAAAATGAGCCGTTAAGATAGAGAGTGAGCCTGATTCCATTATATTAGCGAGGTTTCAACTTTGCTTTGTGTTAATCTTACATCATATTGAAAGAATGAGCCGTAAATAGCTGTTGTTCGTATCAGTAGAAAATAAAAATATGATAATTAATTAATGTTGTCGTTTAAAAAAAAAATACACTTCTTGTATTGCTTTACGGTAAAGTTTTCGAATTTATTCTATTGTGCTAGCTACTAGCTAAGAATCTACACTTCCTGCGATGTTGAAGCAAAGAAGGCGTTGTCATGACGTAACCCCAGTGTAACCTTCGTTCCAACAGCGTCTTGTCTAAACTAGAATTTCCTTCAGTAATAGCAAGCAATTGGACCAAGGTAGCATCTCATCGCTTTTTCTCTGTACGATTCTCAAATCCCGCGGGTCTCTTGGACCAGACGTGTCGCCTGCGCGCATCATAGCCTCTAGTACCCATTGCTTACTATAAATGTCGTTTTCTTCGATTCGGGAGTTTGAGTGTGTTGCTAATATTGCTGCTGCTGGATCATCCATCGCAGCAGCAGTGGCGGCTGTAGCAGGATCGGCCGTCCTGACTGGCTCCAGTTCAACGCCGTGTGAATGGGCCACGATTCCGGTCGTCGAGTCGAAGCGGGTCGGGGTACTCTCTCTGTTGTTGAGGAAGTCACCACCCCACCAAACTACATAGTAGAGAGGCAGGCGATCCCGGCGACTTCTGCAGCAAACGCCGGTTGACTACCGACGACGACAGGCTACGCCGATGACAGACACCAACGATACTCGCCTGTTTGCTTGCTTTCGTAGGCTCTATGTCTGCCAGGCCGGCAGGCGTCCGTTCACATTCACAAGAAGCAGACGAAGCAGCAATAATAGCAGGAGCGCAAGGAAAAAGAAGAGAAAGACGAAAAAAAGATGAAAGTAGCTGCAGAAGGAAAGAACAAGTGAAGAAAAAATGAGGAAGGGGAGAAGGAGAACAGGACGACGACGAAGCAACCAAAGCCAGATCTATAATGGCAGAAGCATTCGCGACAGCTAGAAGACGACAAAGATAACGACGACACCAACAACGACAACGACAACCGCAGCAACAACAAGCTCAGCGACGGCAGCAGAAGAAAGGAAGCAAATGTGCGCCCCCACAGGAAGTTGAACTGCCGGCGAGGAAGCATCAGGCAGTAGCATGAACAACAACAAAACTAAATCTTCTACTCGATAACCCCGATATCTATCTGCTCGTTCCACTCATAAGGATTACCTAGTACGCGGGTAGAACTCTGCTGCCGGCCAGCGACGGCGGCGAAGGCGACAGCATGAGCAGGATCAGTCTTCCTATTGCTTATACCACTGGCCTTACTATTCTCTTCTAGACTATAACTACGATCAGTACTGCCAAGCTGTACCCGTACGCACATATGTGCCTGTACGCTTGAAAGAGCTGGAAGGAATCATATTGGAAATCTATCGTTTGTCGACAGAAAAGGTTCTTTCTAAGGGCCTTTGAAAAGCGTCGAGGTTAAGAAGAAGCCTAGACGCGGAAAGTGAGGAAATCTTGAATCGAGAATTCATTGAACAAATTGTATCGTTGAGAGGACTAGTACCGCAGATACACAGCTTTTTCGTGTTTTATTTGAACGCGTCTCGTTTTCGCCTATTCGAACTAATAGACATTCACACTTTAAGTTTATCGTGACCACAAATAATGGCTCTGCTCCAATCCTTACTAATACATCATGTTTCGCGCTGCTTTTGACCTCACGTCTACGAGGCCATTCCCGTTATTCGACCCAATAGGGTACTGTCGGTATTTATTTGACGGATATAGATCATAAAATATAATTAGCCAAGAAGGGAACACGGACTGAAGTGCAGACAAGCAAAAAGTGTTTCGAGTTTTCTAGTACTACAAGAGTACTATTGGTTGCTTCAGATAATCCAAAGCTGATCGCATAACCTCACTCATTTTAGATGCTTTTTGGCAACAATTTGTTGTGACATCATGGCTTACGCCTCTACCTCGTATGTAAGTCGTAATAGTGCAACGGTAAATTATTACCTATCTGCTTATCAGGTGGCTGGGACTTATCAGCCTGTGGGCTGATATCGAGTTAGCCATGTGTGCAACTGGCTTCTAAATGCGATACAATAGACTGCAGCCTGAAAATAAAACCCCTTTCATTCTATCTCCGTTGACTTGTTATTATTTACTTGTTAGTTCAGCTGTCGGTGGCTAGTTAACAGACGTTCCCAGTTTAGCGTCTAAATTTGGTTCGTATCATGAAAATATGGGAATGTTCTAGGTCAAAACATAACATCCTCTCCAAAAAGAACTAGCATGTCTGGATCTTTGCACGTTACCTACGATCCGTAGTAACGTAGGGTAGAATCCACAACGAACTGGGAAACGTCAGTCACTGTGATAAACAGCTTAAGCTTTAATAAATACTAGCAGCTTCTACTACTGAACGGCTGGCTTAATCAAACAATTGAATTCATAAATGTAGAAAGACGAAATATTCACTGTTTTCCTATACAAGCAAACATCTAACAAGGCATTATAGCGCAAGACAAACATAAACGAACTTGTAGTCTCGACTGTGGACACTTTTGCTACCTTTGTCTAAGTAGATTCTATTATGTTTCTGTTTGGCATAATCCGACCGAGACTAAGAGCCCAGCCACCTGTTATTGAATGGTCGTCAAGCGAGCGTTGCCAGGGATAACGACGCCGGAACGAATAGCAAGGATGCGACGCAGTCACAATATCGAGAAATGGACAATAAAAACCATTCCACCACTTTACCTAAACTGTATATTTAAGCAGCATATAAGCCTCCGAACTGAAAAGATTTTACACTCGTTCCGGACGTACACTCGTCCTAATTATGCTGTACGTGTTACAACCAGGACACGGCAGATCGACAGTAGAAACAAGTAGCATCCTACAACAGAGTTCTCAGTTGTCATAATGGCCATATTCTGAAATCTAGAAGAACATGCATGCACGGCCAGATGAAGCGGGCATAATAACGAGCGGAAAAAGTCGTCCAATTCCTGCTGGTGACAGCCACGAGACATTGTGCACTTCAAAATTTTAGGCCAGCAAAGGGTTACAGGACTGAAATGAACAAAGCGTAATTCCTTCCTCAGACGAACGAATGTCTCTCGAATCTATGATCATATGTACACAGAGGCACAAATGTAGCCCTATTGTTACATATGTGACTTTTGACGCTTATTCACGTTGTATACATACATAGTCTTGCTCTCCATACTTCATATGTACATCTGCGCATTCGCGTTTCCCTTTTTTTAGTTTTTGTTGTTGGTCCCTATCTCCTACCGCTGCTGCTGCTGCTGTTGTTACGAGTCTTCCTTATCGTCTTCTAGTTCCTCTTTTTCCTTTGGGTCTTTCTGTCTTTGCTCATCTGCTTGGCGGCTGGTGTCCGCCTGCGACATGAACGACCACGACGGCGACCTGCGCCTGCCGCGGTGTTTTGCGGTCCTGATGCTGTGGTGATGTGCCGCGGCTAGCCGGCGTTCACCGCTATTCTCCACCCAAGGCGCAAAGGCTTAACTCTACCAGCGCCATCATCATGATTACCAGCAGCAGTAGCGGTGCTAGCAGAATCAACTCCAGAAAGAGCACATCTCGTGCGCGCCCTTCTCGTTTCTTTGCCAGTCAGGCCTAGCCCATCTCTCTCCGTCTGTTGTGCGCGCAGTCGCCCGCTCTCTTTCTATTTGTTTCGCTATGTCTATGTATTTGATCCTGCTTGTGAAGCAGCAGCAGCATGAACTTCGTCTTCCTTTCAAGTTCCTCGTTGGGTTGTTTTCTTCGATTTCGTTCCCCGTTTCTTTCGTTCCCACGCTCCTTCTTCCGGACCGTGCTCGTTTCTTGGGCAGTCGCTACCATCATCACCAGCAGCATCGTCATCGCCAGTCGCACCAGGCCAGGCTGCAGCCAGGAGCCGGGCATCAGCGGGAGCGGCAGTTCTTAGCGGACTACCGCCAAGCTATCGGCCAGCCGGCGAACAACCAGCCCGCCAGCCCGCCAGACTGGCTGGCTCACAGCGAAACAGACTAGAACCGACTGCATCAGCCGCAGCACCAGTAAACTAGTGGTAGTATTCGTTGTCATCGTAGTACTATCCTCTCTCTGCCTTTTTTAGCACGCACACATGGACACACACACAGTAAGTTGCCTTACACGCAGTTTACTACAACTACTACTAGAGCCTGTACAGTTTATTCACTCTGCCATCCTAGTTTGGATCCACCCGCAGCATCTGCTCTTGCTTAGCTCCCTCGTTCTGTTTTTGGGTCCGAACTCCGGACACATGGTTCGTCCTGCATACCGTCAACAGCGGCGGCGGGAGCAGCAGCATCAGAACTATGAATCTGGGGTCCAGGGCCACTCGTTCGGCCTTTGACTACTACGACATAGCCTCCTGCTTCCGCAGAGGTACTCGTACACCCGTGCTGCCGTCTCTGCCGTGCCATACCGAATAGACTCTGCTACGAACAATCTAAAGCAGAAGTTCATACACGTGCAGCATCGTCATTCGGACGCGATAATCATTCGCTTTATGAGCCTAACGGGTAAGCACTATGTGACTTCACAGAGATAAAGGTCCGTTCGCTTTGTTCGTTTGTATCTTTGCATGCCTTGAGTTCGTTTATACGCGTATAAGGTAAAACTTACAGCGTTAAGCGGTCAGAAGTTAGTCCCGCAAACCTCAAAAGTATCTACGATGATCATTCTATAGTTCACCAGTTACAATACTGATGGAGGGGCCAGCAAGTCAGGTCGACGTAAATAACGAAAGCAATCATTCCTAAACGTCTTCCGCGGATTATGCGCCAGCGGAGCTGCCCGGAGTAATTTCTCATATACGGGGGTCTTCAAATCGATGTAAGCATAGTTAAGTTTGAAGCGAGAACTAAAACAAAACTATTTAGGAAGGTCTGGATATACATTTTAGAGTTATTTCAAACAGTTCACCACCTCCTCTGTTGTTGTTCTCTATGGAAAGAGTACTGAAGTCACGATCTTCAGTTTGTTAACAGCCGTTGACATTAGGAAAGCTTTGAATAACGTCGTTGTCTCTAAAAGGTGTTGGAGGAAACTACAATGGTTCGGCAATCCTTTGCGATTCTCGTTGCGGGGAACACCACAACATGAATTCAGAGCATCCACAACTCTCTCTAAAATAGCTGAAATGCACACTTTTTAATGACGGCTATCTAGCCATCCCGGCGCCCTAGCTATAAAAAGATAAGCTCATTCGATATAACGTAGGCCCGTCCGTGATTGTTCATCTTTCAGCGACCTGACTTAACAGAAGCTTGTAGAAGTGAATGAGAGTGCCAGTCAGCTGAAGTGGGGACCTGAAGCCGAATCGTCAAGGCTCGAGGTCCCTCGCTTGCATTCTAGCTGTACTAGTAACAATGATAGGTGTAGTGCCTGGTCGATCGTTGTTATCGTATACGATGCTTCATGACCTTTGGACGACCTTCACCGAAGGCGTCCTCTATGATCTCTGCAGCAGATAGCGAACGAGGAAAAGCTGTAGAGGCTAGGCTAGTATTGTATCCGGCTGTGGAAGTAGCAATGCTTGGGCGATCACTTAAGGAAATATAGTTAGTCGTAGTAGTTGTGCGTCGCGCTAGTGCGCGGTGGCTGTGTTGATGCTACTACAGTTCAGCCTCAACTTTAACCTCACTATTGCAATCTGCGTACTACTCGAGGCTATGGCATTCGTTCATCTGTCTCATCTCACGGCCAAGCGCGTCACTCCAGGACTGAATCTGGACTCGAGGTAGGCCTGCAGTCACAAGTCGATCGATTCTCTGCACATCCTGCTTTGCCTTGTCCGACTACAATCGCAAGCCACAATCATCCGTATGCTTCTGCTGCTAGATAGTGGCTGTATGGTCGCCTGCGTAGACGAGACACCGATCAAACAACTTCCCGTGCTGGCTGCCGGCAGTGCGTCCATAGCGCCCTGACTTACAAAACAGGCATAGGCGGTAGGATTGAACATTGCCGGACATTCACCAGCGAGACCGACAGGCAAACCACCTCGCTGCCAAGGACGGGCAGGTGGTAAGTAACGCCACCAACGTATTATGTGTATCTCGTCTTGAAGAAGGCTTTTCGTCGACGATTGTCGTTCCATGGTCCTATACGGGATATATCGGTCAAGCATGAGGTCTTCGTTTTAGAATAGAACAATGTAAGAAGATTTATACAATACGAGTAAAGTCATAGCTGAGTGCGACGTGAAACAACAGAACAACGTGTCTATGCGTAGAATACTAGGATAGGGTAGCGGGCATTGCATTGAACGAAAACACCGTCTGCTATTGCCGATTCGGTTGTAACTATCAGAAGCTGCTCCAGGTCCTTGCTTACTTTATTACGATGCCGTGTTGGTGATGATGATTCGGACGCTGCTGGTGATGATGACGATGGTTCCGATGCTGATGTTGATGATTCTGATATCGATGGCGATTGTGACGGCCGGCAACCGGTGCTTAGTAGGACTGGCAAGTCCTGCTTCGAAACAGTATGTGCTCGTTCCTGGCTGAATCTAGCCGCATCTCTCTACTCCAGGAAGGCCAGATGGCGGCTTGTCGATACTCTCAACGTGGCAATGGCTCGTCGTCTACGAAATGCGTCAGCAGCAGCGCCAACAGATTCTTTCTCGATTGGTTGGTGTCTGAGATCGACGCTGCTTGATGTGTGCGTGCCTCTGTATGCTCGAGGCGCGCACGACTGACTATGCGTTGGTTGAAAGATAGTGAGTGTCGGCGCCAGAATGAACATACCCGCAGAGCAAAGGGCCACCCCAGAATGGAGGTGGCCGCGGCGGCCGATAGAACGAATTCGAAATGCGTTGTCGTTCTTTCATTGCTGCTGTCGCTGGTGCCGCTATGAGTCTATCAGCTGGTCTTGGCTCACTCCGTCAGCGATCTATTTACGAGTACTCCGTTTCACCTTGGCTGTCTCCCATTGCAGTGGTGGGCGGCAATCGCCGGCTTCGGAGGATCACCTCTGGTCGTCCCGCCAGTATCGGCCACACCCAGCTAAACGCTGACCCATATCGTGCATCCGAGAAGGACGGCCACACCAACAGCAGCCACAAGAGCATCTGCAGAATCACTAGCTCTTTACACACCTTTTCTACAGTGTACGTGAAACATAGTAAAGGTAAGACTGCCATAGAGAGCCACAGAGCGGAAAGGCAGTGCAGAAGCAGAATCCTACAGCAGACCCATGAGGTCGCCCCCTATTATTAATTGGCTTGTAGTAAAAAAACATGCTTCATTCGCACTTTACGCAGATGGACAGGGAAGAGGTCGAGATAAACAGATAGAAACGGGGAAAATGGCAAAGTAGACATATTGCGATTTGGACGGTGTTATGAGAAGCGTAACAACTTCCGAATTGAACAGAGAGAGGAGGCCATCGGACCGTCTTTCTGTCCTTTGCACTGACTCAGCCATCTAGGCACGTTCACATTGACGCAGCTTAAACTTGCAAGCAAAGCAAACATCGATTCGAAGACGCGTCATCTAATGTCAATAAGTGCTAATATATATATAGATTTTTTTAAATCATATACTTGATTTATGCGCATGCTATGACCTTTCTTAAATAAAACTCAGACCATTTACAACCGTTCACTAGTCCCGAAATGGACAGCGGCAAAATTCAAACACGAGGCACTCTAGATAAATACGAGCATTATACTTACGAAGTCATTAACGGCACTGAAGCCTGTAGGCAGTGATTGATGTTAAAAAAAGAGATAATTACATTTTTAGAGCGAAAAAATGTAGCCGTTTTAATTCCGTTGCAAAGAAATTAATGGTTCTATTGTTGACACGTATGCACACAAGCCGTCTATGCTTCAGAGTTCATAAATTATTTGGTGGGTGTATAGCAGCAAGGTGCTTTCACGGATGTAAGACCCTCTTGCCCCAAAACGTCTACCTTGACGATGAATTTCGCGCATATATTCGTTAGAATTGCTTCGACAGAGGCGCTTAAAGCGGAAGCGCAAAACGGTAGATGGACGACTGATTTGACGTCTGATCGTCCACCTGTCCGTCTGTCCCTCTCTGAAAGCCTGTGCGAAGACCGAAGGCTAGAGTTCGCTTAGTCACTAAATAGCGCCGGGTAGACTAGATTCTCTATGGAATATAACGACATCCCCCTACGCATTAACTTGGCCTATTGATTTTAGTGGGGACTCCAGTTTTTATCTTTAGCCGGGACAAACTTCTGCTGCTGTTGCAGACGTTATTATAGCTGTGGTTAGCGCCACGGCTGTTGTTCCTTTTGCCGCCAACGTTAAATGGAGATAGGTTGCCACATGTAAAATAATTGTTGCTCTCGCCGTCGCTGCCACTGGTGCCATCTGGTGTCGCACCGATCGAGGACGTTATCGGTCGGGATCCACGAGGAAGGGGGTTTACGAGAACCGCTACAGGTCCTTAAGGACGATTGTACAACGATTAGGCAGAGAAACTGTAAAGGCGATAGAGGAGCGCTGCCATTGATCTTCAGCTTCGGGCCATAATTACGGAGCCGAAAAAATTAATTTACCGAAAAAGGTAAAGAGCCAATAGGAATAAACCTCGGCGCTTTCCTGCTGCTGCTGCAGATCCTATTTTGCCCGACACAAAATGTACAGCCGTTGTTTATCGTCATGAAGGTGATCAGAATTATCATTCATGCAAGGTACATCATGAAAATTAACGCACGTAACGGATTCAATATCATCGTCAACAATTTATGATGACTCAGAGTGAGTAAAACAACCACAAAGTAAACGACTGTTCCAAATCTACGTTCCAAAGCGTCTTCATTCCTCTTGAGCGTAGCAGCGCGTGTATTTAGATACGCTTACCATGAAGAAAATGTTCGATTATTGATTTTTTGTTTCAGGCCAAGTAGTGCTTGACCTGGGAGCGATGGCGCAGATGTGCGGTTGCGGATTAGAATAGGACTAGACAGGTGTGCTCGAGAAATTTTGCTTCATGTTCACCAGCCAACTGTGCATCATGCAAACAGCTCTACGGTACGAGAACACGCCAAAAATTGTCGAAAACAACGGGATTAGGTCGATAACCGAAGCACAAAAAGACTTTTTAAAGGCGTCGCGTTAGGTGGCCTGGCACCGTTCTAAATAAATATTATTGAGAGAACTCGGCCACACCATATAGAACGCCATCGATTTGCATAGCAAGTTTATCGTACTTTAAGTTAAGACACAGCCGATGTGTTTCCGCTTACTTGCTGCGTCTCCCTTGCAAAAAAAACTATCAAGTAACCAGTATCTCCACGTTTCTCTAAGCAAATCAGAACTAATTGTAACGAATAAAACCAATAAAAAAGAAAACATGATTGCTACAATATCGTTATCATAAAACGGCAAGCTTTTTACAAAAAAAAAAAACATCACCAGACCAGCGTCTAGTTTGGCTTCGTCTTTAGCTATTAAATCAAAT